ATACTGTATATATATTCACATGCGTCTCATCTGTGTCTGTCTGTGGGTGAGAGTATAAATCGGGTAAGCTGTGTGGCGAATCGCGTTGAAAGGGAGCCGGACTCTAATGAATGCCTTTAAAGAGTTGGTCACGCAGAGGAACAGCTCCGTCCCCGTGCAATAATCTGTTCAACATCACTTCAAACTCCCCGCAGGATGGTTTTTTTGTGATAACAAGCACACGCAGCGTCCAAAACACACCAGCTCGGGTGAGCGTTTAATAAAAAACAAAGAAGAGTTTCAGTCATGTAAATGCGCACGCACACACGAGGGGAGCAGAGAGAGAAAACAGACGAATGAAGAATCGCAGGGAGAGAAAGAGGGTGAAAGAGATCTAAGGTTCAACGAATGTGCACAACTGGGACCGTGCATTCTGGAGACCATCTGGCGCGGTTTGTTTGGCACCAGGACCCGGTGACTACCAGCCGACCAGACAAGACTCAAGCGGAGCCCCGAACCCCACACAACTGAGGAAATGAGTTGTCATGGGGGATTGTAGAGTACCAAGCAGCTTTCCCACATCCATTCACACATTTTGCGCGCGTGCGCGAGGTCGTGATGTTCTCGCGTGTGCGTGTCAAAGAGACAGAGAGGTAGAAAACGCGCTCAACTAATAGGGAGCTGTTGCAACAACAGGTTACTAAAATGCCTCACGCATATTCCAAGCTGAAGATGAGACTGACCATCTGGAACAGAACTCCAAGGACACAAGCTTCCCCTGAAGAAGACTCAACTCATAACTGTCCCGCTCATCCTCACTGATCGCGTAGCTAAAGTAATGCAGGCAACACTTTCAGAATCATTTTCGCAAAACATGATTAGCCTGAAGAAATAGTTAGATACATACTCTCCAAAACAAATGAATAATTTACCACCAGCTGCTACCGACTGTCTGCATGAGAAATGCACGATATAAACCATATCAGGACTTGATGACGTTATCCATTTGAACCAGGTTATTTAGTGTGGGCTGATCAACGCATCTGCACAGCTTCTAACGCGTTCTGCGCATTTGTCTGAAAACAATATCTTATTACATATTGCAAACGTGCACGGACACCAACCAGAAGCTCTTTTTTTCAAACCCGGAGCCTTAAATTGGCGGAAAACCTTTATTCCCACTCCCAGTGTCTATTCATGGCCTGGGCCATGTCTGCAAAATGTCTGCATTCACTCCTCCTTTGCACATATTTTACCATAGTGCGCTTGGTATTTAAACAGGTTTGATACGGGCGCCCAAGATTTACATAGCTCCAAATGCGCACAATGCAGTAATGCAATTACTCCCTGCGTCCCAGAGAAGCTAATCACATTTGGAGAACAAAGTCAGCTCCAGAGTTTATGGAAGAAGGGAGCAAAATAAAGAGACAGAGTTGGAGAGGGCGGGGGTGCGCTGGGGTCTTAAACACTGCGCAGAATAAAACAATTAATGTATAGAGGGGGTATAATCTAAGTAAAAAGCAGATGGAGCCTTAATACATTTAGGCACGCTACATAACCAAAGGAGCAGAACAAGCATGCCTTTTTAGTTCTGAACTCCATAATTAATCTAAAAATATGCATCCTCTGCAGCAGGTGCAAAGACACCATCTCTTGGATTTAGTACTTTTTGTTAAACTTATCCTGCTTCCAGCTCCACAAATATTATTTCATTGATCTATAGGCGGCTCCACAAATGCACGCGATCAGCACAAACAAACAAACAATTATCGCGAACGCCTGGGCGCAGCTCTCGTCATTATTGCCTCTGTGTGTCCGGGCCTTGTAGCCATAAAGTGGTAGTGTGAATTAAACGTCTGTCGTGAACATTCATGGCAATCGTTGCAATACCCCCCCCCCCATCTCCCTCCCCTCCCCTCGAGTAAATAGGAGCAGCAGGTGGAGCGGTCATAGAAATGTGCCTCTGGACTCCCGGTTCAGATTGGAATCAAGAGGAATGTGGCTGTGTGCGAGCGCGCGCACGTAGTGTAATGATGCTGGTGGTTTGGTTGTAAAGGCACGCGAGCATCTGTCGCCTCGTCTGCCCGTTCATTGTCACTTATTCAATTAGCAGCGATTTGGTGGGTTCCATTCCGGAGGGGAGGAGTAGGAGCACAGAGAGCGACCGGGAGTTTGCTTTCACTGCTGCTGGAGGGAGAAGTTGATACCTCCCCCTGCACACACACACACACACACACACACACACACACACACACACACACACACAAGAGCAGTGATTGTCATTCATCCGGGTCTCTTCTTCACTCTCCCCCCCTTTTCTTTGCTATTATTAGGGGTCCATAGAGCTTTATTACTTCATGACTCGTTGGTCACCATTGTGTGTGATGTGTGTATCTGTCCGGGCAGACTAGAAAGAGAGCACTGCCTTGTTCTTGCTCGCAGTGCATGCGGTGATCACACCCTGAGCGCAGCATATTGCAAGCGATGTCAACAGTTGGGCGACAAATTTATAGCTCATGCAGAACTATGGGGCAAAGAAAGAATGTGTCTGGTCACCTTTAAAGTGGGCGCATTACTGCACTGCTCTGCCAGTCCCGCAGCCCAGCACCCAATGAAAAGAACAGGCTGTTATTGCTTCTTTTCTTTACAGACTTTACTGACTTATGCGCTAGGAGAGGTGTATAAAATATTCATAACTTTCCTCTGCAGCACCAGTACAAAGTGTCATTTAAACTCTGGCATGGATATAGTGTTGACCAATGCATTTACTATTCTATTCCATTCTACTCTTGAGGACCGTGATGATGGGCGTTGGTGCACCGTCAGTGCATTGAGCTTTGGCTGTTACATTCCCCCAGAAGAAGTTGCCTTTTTTCTGTGTTGTTAAATCAAATGAGAATCTCCTTTTCTATTCTATTGTAGTCTTTGGGATGGTTTGTTTGCATGGAGTGAAGGAGCAGTTTGGGTGTCTAATCATCCAGTCATTCTTTCCTTGGCCTCATTCTCTCTCTCTGATTCATACCTAGCTGAGTTCATGTGTACATACACACACATACACACACTTGATATGACTGAAGGGCACTGACAGCAAGGTGCTTTGCCCCACCAAGACATGGCACAGAGAAACACAAAGGCTTCACACACAATAAGCAGCACAGCACTCAGGACTGAACCGCTCTCTATCGGTCTCACTCTGTCTCTCTGTAAATAAGGCTCAGTCTCATAACATCAATAGTACCTTTTAATTACGTATATTCATTCTTTTTCAGTCATACCGTAAAAGATAATTCCAGTTTATTGCAATGTAGGTCTTATTTTAATGGCGACTATAATTCATTTTGCTTACTCAGCAGAATAATTGCCGTCATGTGGAGACACACTGACATCGCTCCAAGTCAGATGAGGCAAGCGACAGTTTTATCGGAAATTGCGCTAATGACCACTTTTTGCACAGGAAATATGTGCGTTCATAAAAATACTACACAACCAATATGGTAGAGGGGTTTGTTGGAAACTTATTTGATTATCTGAATATATTTGAGTAATTTCACCATGTTTAGATCTCACATATATAGACCCATTTAATGCTGACATCATCAATAATATGCACACACATGTTAGCAATGGAAGTGGAATTGTGCTCCAGCCATTCAGACAAGTTAACTTTTATCAGCTTCAAAACGTCTGGTTGTCTGAAGCGACCCGAACAGCGAACAGTGGACCCAAGTTCTACAGAATTCAGAATTATAACACG